TCTCAGAGTGATTTCGCACACTAATCATCGAAAATGCGGCTGGAACCTACTGATAATATAACATGAGGTATCGTGGAACATCCAGTTGTCGACATGTCGCCAGGTAAGTGGAATATATCATTATTTTCTTTGTCCATCGTTATTTTCACGGCGGTCTTTGTTGACAAAAACACAGCTTAAACTTCTTCTTCTAACATTTTTCGGTTTCAACGGACCCCAAAATTTTGCTGCATATTTTTACAGGTTAGACATTGCTCTTTAAGTGGAGGGTAGTTTTGGGATCTCAAATGATTTTGGCGATATTTTCCTTTAAATTTTGCCTTTTTTATGGCGCTTCATGAGTAGTTCGAAAGCGAAGAAATTTAAAATTCTCTAAAAAAATCAGATGTTTGTTAAATTGCCAAAACAGCCTCTCAACGTAACGAGAAACATTTGCTTGTCTCGAATAAAGGATTTTTACCCGGATTTATAACGTCTTCTTTGCGTACCAAATTGTTCAAAATGTGCCCTAAAATGGCCGCTGAAAGCCCTCTCAGAGGAGCAAAACCAAGATAGTCGCCCTGCCGCTAAAATACCGATCGAATTGAACTGAAAGTTATATTTTTGTGAATCACTTATTTAGACCATTCATCTAACAAAGTTTGAGAAATTTGTTTTTTTCTCGTCCAAAATTGACCATAGTTGATAATTAGAGAGGGTGGCTCTCAAGAAAACCACGACGGAAGCGGTATCGGAACGCAGATTAATGTTTTGTCCATGAGAACTGGCGGGTGACACGCCTCATACAGTTTCATGTAACAGTTACACGAAATAAATAATCATGCAGATTAATGTTTTGTCCATCAGAACTGGCGGGTGACACGCCTCATACATTTCGATGTAACACGAAAGAAATAATCACGCATACACACCTCATACAGTCCAATGTAACATAGTCTGAAATGTCATATAACATGGCGTTACTGATAGTCATTTCTTAGCGAATCAGGCATGCGCCGATGGCGAGCACGCATTTCTACAAGCAATGTTCCTTAATATTCTCAATTCCATATTCAGTAGTTGTCATTTCTAGGAATTTGGTTGTGAGATCTTGATTGATTTTAGTGAACTTAGTGAGTGACGGCACTTCTGCAAGATCCTGAATCCTGAAGCATGTACAGTATACTATGATGAGTGACCACAATCAATAATTGGCCCATTTCTACAAGAAATTTTCCTTCAAATGCTATTTTTCATGTTCAGTGGTTGTCATTTCTTGTTACAATTTGTTTTGAGATCTTTTGGTGCACTTTGT